AGAAAGGCATTTTGGTTTCATTAGGCTCTCGTGAAACAAAAGAAACAGCTGCTGTCTCATATTTGCCGTAAAGCTTGGAACGGTGTTCTCATTGTTCACAGGTGGCTTGTCATCCATGAAGTGGTTATCATGCTTGTTTTGTCAATTATTTTCTTTATTTGAAACAAATACCTAACTTAATGACGTATGTCTGATTCTCGCAATGAAACATACAGTCTACAGTTGTGTAAAAATATCTGGTCCACAACGATATCCTGTTTGCCTTCAATTGTTAAGGGGTCCCTAAGTGACACTGAGGTGTAAATTTAGTAAAGGCGCTGCATTTTCGCACGATTCTACAGCAAACGACTTCGTCCGTTCCTGCTTCTCCTTTCTCCAAACGCTTTCCCCAGCCTAAGAGGTGAAATCGCAAGGGGAGGGCGCATCGGCTAGCAGACGAGAACGCGAGTGTCTGTTGGCGATGTGGCGTTGTCTGTTGACATCCAGACAATTTCTTAAAGAGATGTCAACAGCTATTTTGTAAAACAAGCATATGCATAGCCATCCATTGTATAGTGCTAGCGTTTTTTTTTTTTGCCAGTACGATTTTTATCGCAGAGCGAGCGAAACAGGCAGTTGAGGTCCATGCGGCAGACAACATCCGCTTTCGGAAATGCGGAGGCGGTTCTGGCGGAAAAAAATTACCGTCAGCAAAGAAAAAAGTTCCATCGCTAAGCAGTGTTTTCACGTATATTACAGAGTTTTAGTGCTGGGTACGCAAGCCTTGGGGCGTTGCGGGCTTGGGGGCGCGCGGCGTTGCGTACCCAACCCATACTCAATCGGAACGCCTTATAGCACTGCGCACGCAAATGCGAGCCGCACGAAGGTCACATGCGCTCGCAGCGCCATATCGTCTTGTTGCGTAAGTATTGTTTAAGTATTCTTATACAGTTTAAAATGTTAAATTAAACATCCTTAGTGACATGAAGTAAACGACTTTCAATAAATCATTTTTTAATTATTATGACAGCTATCAACCCAAAACAAAAAAAAAAACATTTTTTTATGTGCCTCAGTGGCGACTGAAGCCTGCACCGTCAATCCCAAGCAATCCAGGCGGCCGGTTGTAGTCCCGACAAGCGCGACAACAGAACAACGGTGTAACGTGTAATTCTGTGTAACTTTTAGCTTGTACGTATACTTTCTTACTTCAACGTCTTACCGGATACCGGTTTGCGTTTACCGCCTTACCGAAACGCATGTCTTCCAGCGTTTTGAGCTCCTCATACGTAAACATTTACGTACGTGCGTAAACGTGTATACCTTTACGCTCTCGCGAACAATAAATGGTGATGGTAACTCCATTTACCTTACATATTTTTGAATCGCCGGTGCGGCAACATCACGAGAGTTTTGTTTTTATCTTGTACAGTATCCTGGTATAGGCAAAAAGTGGAAAAAAACAAAGTGACTGTAACGATGGCGTCGGCATCTTGTTACACTTTATTTATTTATTTTTACATACTGCAACCCGTAAGGGCTATGGCAGGAGTGGGTAACAGGTCGTCAAACCACAGTCATGAACACGTTGGCTTACGCTTAATATTTTTGAGGTGAAAATAATTAAAAAAGGTAACTCAGTTGTAATAACGCCGCTGCGCGGTTTTTGCACGAGACGTACAATGCACAATGTTTCTGCAATAACAGTTTTGTGATTGTCTGGTTCACAATCGCCCCGCTAGATGGCAACACAAATTCAGCTGGTCGGGGGCTCGCACGTTTTTGGCTTCTATGTTCTAGGCCATTCCAGGTGTGGTAATCTGGCTGAAACAATTTAATCACTATTTATCCACCGCCAGTGAAGGTGAGTGTGAAGTGCGGCTCCCCGTGAAGGTGAATGACATCACGGGTAGCATGATGCGCCAACATGTGCGCCAACATGTGCGCCAGGGCAGCTTATCTCCACTAGGAGGCCAGTGGCGGCAGTATTGCTTATGGCAGCGCAGCCGCATGGCCCCAGTGTTCCAGCGATCTTGCGATGCATCTGTTTGGGGTTTCGCGCATGCGCGGTACCTCCGCCCCAACGTCCTGGGTACGCAAGCCGCTTGGGTAACCATTTTTTTTCTTTTTTCTCTTCTAAAGGCAAAAAGAACAAACCTACCAACCCTACTTGTAGGCGCACACAGGGGGCAAAACCTGGCCGATATCTCTATGTAGTGGGCAGATAGCTATAGAGAAGTCAATTCACACCTACAGATGACATGGCTGTAGCAGTGCGTACGCAGTATTGCCTGCGAACACCTCAATTACGCTCGCGTATATTGACCAGCTTACAAAAACACACACACACGGCAATGAATAAGACACTTTGCTTTAAAATTGGTAAGCATGTTTCTTACCATCATATTCTACCAGTAAATCCTACTTGGTTAGCCAACCTACCTACAAACCATGAACAATTGCCTTGTCGAACAATTGCCTTGCCTTGCCAACTAGCACGGATTCTGACAGCGATGCGCCGCGCCACTTGCCTAGAAGGGCATGGGCACAGTTGATACGGGTTTATATTTGGCAAAAAGTTCAGCAGCGCATTGGATAGCGGAAATCAAAGGGTTCGCAACAATACTTCGTAGTCACACTGATTTTTTTTGAGCGTCCGAATTCCCATTAGATGCTCACACGCTTTGAACATTTATTTCACCCATTGACACAAATTTCTTTTCATCGTAGACTCTGCCATTCCAGACAACCGAAATGAAGTACTCGGAGGCAAATACACTCTCACCTTTGACAAAACACCGTTTAAAGATGGGAATAAAGCAATAAAGCTCGAGACACAGTCGTGATACACCGCATTTCAATATAGCTATGCAAAAAAAGCGTAATTTAACGGCCCCAATCTCCACATGTTTCGCCACACAGTCCTCTACCATGCCAGGTGCTCTAATTTCGTAGTGTTTCTTGAATATATGTTCAAGTGCACATAGCAAGTACAGTTTGCCGTGTAGCAGAGAAAAATTATTAGCTTCGTGGTCTGTATCGCTTTAACTTTCTTTTTCATCTTCATCCGCAGCTACTCTTCTCCTTCTAGTCCACTAGCTCTATTGTGACCCAGCCTTTGCGACAGTGCGCAAGCTGCGAATTCTCGGTCTTTTTTACTGTCACCAGCTTCACTATGCTCCGTACAAGGTCCAAGTAGATAACATAGCCACGCGCATGTCATGTTGTACCCATTGTAAAAGATCGCTTGGGTGAGGAACTCGACTACAGTGCCCTAAAAACGGGCGCGCCAGTCTCTGCTAGAGTGCCTCAATGACCGCTGCTTCGCTGAGCGGAGCCGTGCGCATCGAGGTACCCTAGTCTCTGCCATGGCGAATGCAAGATAAAACAATAACTTGCGTACGAGGTCTGCCACCGTCGACTGTTGTAAAAGCAGAACGGAAACGCCCACTCCGTCTTAAATGAGCACGAAGAGGCGAGAATGGCGGGAGAGAGGAGCTGCTCGCGCAGAATCTGTGAACTTTGATCACATAAAGCGCCTGTGATCATTCACGCGCGCACTGTCTCGACCAGCCTCAGGAAGTGGCCTGTATACCATTCTGCAGGGTTTGCTGTCAACGCAAAAGTACTGCACGGCAAGTACTACTCTCCCTGGAGCGGTCATATTTTATTTCAACTGCGTTCTGTTGAGTTACATTATACAGGATTCCAAAATATCAACGGCCAGTCTTTCTTGGTATCACATTGCAACCTGTTGCTCTGGCATCATTTTATGCGCTGTTACATTCAAGGTCTGACTTTCATTTTGTTCCCAGCACAGGGTGGACATGTAGCCTCGTGAAGCTAAATCTTGTGGCGCCTAGATATATGGCACCTAGATATTTTTATGCGATGGCTTCACAGCTGAGCATGGAATAAGAATCATTTGTAACAGAAATAGAATAGGATCATGGCACTTTTTTTATCACACACTTATGTTTCAAACCAAATGAAATATAAAGTTTTAAATACTTCTTTTTTCTCGAAAATAATTAATATTTCTTGGAGTTTATTGTCACCATACCATCGTATGAATATGAGATGTGCCATAGTGAAGCACTCTCGAAATTTCGGCCAAGTTGGGTTCTTTAGCGTTCTGTTTTTTTATTAAGCACCGGAATAAAGAGAATTGACAAACAAAAAAGCCAAGAAATTATAGCGGACATCATTTCTAGTAATTATCATATATATCTTAGGAGAGTAAAATATTCGCAAAAAAAACACACATTTGCCACTGAGAGGGAACAAACATGCGACCTCCGGATAACGTTGCCGAGAGCGTCAGATGTTTATGGGAAGGTCGCAGGTGTGGTCCCTGCCAGTGCCAAATTAAAATTTAGTGGTCGACTTCCTTGTCTGTTAGTTGTAATTATTGTGATAATTGTTTTCACAAGCACACTGAACAAGGCTTCCAGGTTAGTTTTGATAACTTGGTGCGAAGACAACATTGAATTTATTGTCTACTTGCTATGGTGTAAAAATGTATTAGTCCAATGGGGGACCTTGGAAAAAGGGTTTATTTTGGAACCTTTTTTTTCGCAGTGCATGCAATATATAAGTTTTCATTAAATCACCACGAACTTAAAAACATGAACTTGTTAGAACAGTGATATTTGTTTAGTCAAATAAAGTTGCCAACATTCTGGCCAATATTCGTAATATTGATATCCTAGTTTTACGTTCCCAAACGACGGTATGGTTAAGGAGGGCGCCGTAGTGAAACACTCCAAAAAATTTGACCACATGTTGTTTTTTAACAAGCGCGGCAAGCGCACAGCGCACGGGATCCTGGCGTTTCGCCTTCATTGAAACGAAAGTGCTGCGACTGCGATCAAAACCATGACGTAAGTGTTAGCAGTCGCACACGGTAACTTACGGTAATTAGTTGTAGTGGCAATAAGTAGAGAGAATAATAAACCTCGAATGAAATTTCGTGCGTTAATATATTCATGACAATTGGCCTTTTATACTTTATGTTCCAGTTCTGGAAGAATCATACGAAAGTGTGGACTGTCAAATCAACGCACGCACCTCTATATGATTGTGAGCGGGAAGTATTCACCAGTGTGAATGACACTAGTTTGCAAACAAAAATATACTTCGATACCGAAAATTCGTTCACGTAAGCCTTATGACACATTGTTTTTTACTGTATTACAAGTTTCTTCATTTGCAGATTAAATTGGACATTTACAGGAAACGACACAATCACAAGTGAATTGTCAGAACGTGAGTAAGATTTTCCTAATTACTACATGTAGATGTTGAAGAAACTATGATTTTTTAACAAACGCTTTTGCTTATTTCAACGCCTCGTGGAGAAATGAATTCGCACATGTAGAATTTCACAACTTTTTTTTTCTTTCAGGACTGAAAGTTATTAGCAGCATTGAGGAGATATAGAAATACCATTAAATTTATATAAAGTGGCAGTAAAATTATTTTTGTATTCAAAGCACTGATCACTTCATTAAGAATTCGCACATACAACAGCTCAAGACATTTCTGTAACACCACGTGACAAGAAAAGAAAAAGCTTTTGCGAGAGCGATTAGGCAATGCGATTCAGAATGACAGATTCAACACTTTCTGTAAATCAACATCTTGCGAAGTAGTCACTGAGTGGCAGCCTATGAGTGATATAGAAAACAACTTCATTGGGTCCTGCTAAACGCGGCTGAGTAGCACTCCCGACGTGGTCTCACGTGGGGGTAGGCAAGCCAAGCCAGCCAGCTACCTCGAGGGCCCGCTGCACAGCAGGACTTGGAATGTGGTGAAAGAGCCACATTGTAGCATATCCTCAGCACGTGCCAAACCATGCAATCAAGCTTCGCCTTGGAGGAGTGCGAGACGCTTCTACGCAGCTCTGCTCTCAAGGAGTAGTAGTCTGCGCTGGTATTTTAGGAGTGAAGGACGTTAAGGACGACGCTTGTCCAATGTCCCCTGTCATGGCTGCATTATAAGGGGCAACGTTCGGGTAAGGTTTGGTATAGTAAAACTAATGACACACACACAAATATTTAGCAATAGGCCAATATCAGTCATAATTATACAGAACAATATATTCTACCTTCAAGCACAAGCCCTTTATAATATCGGCGACTTCAACGCAGACATCGTCAGCCTTAAGACCTAGCTTTGTCATCGATTCTTTATTCCATGTCTCTGAATATACATTGTATATTCAGAGACATGAAATATACATTGTATATTCAGAGACATGGAATTGTATGTACGCTCGGTTAACATATGTGATACGTCCACAAAAAAAACAGAGCGTTTAACGATAGTCGAACAACAACCCCCATCATCATCATCATCATCATCATCATCATCATCATGATTCTCATCAGCCTTACTAAGTCAACTGCAGGACAAAGTCCTCTCCCATGACCCGCCAGTCAACTCGGTCCTGTGCCTGCTGCTGCCTTTTTAGACCCGCAAACTTTCTAATCTCATCTGCCCACCTAACTTTCTGTCTACCTCTAACTCGTTTGCCTTCTCTGGAAATCCAGTTAGTTACCCTCAACGACCAGCGGTTATTCCGTCTACGCGCTACGTGCCCGGCACAACTCCATTTCTTCTTAATTTCTTCTTCCTAATTATGGAGATATTTTTCACGAAGTTTTTCAAAATAATTTCAACTATGATGTCCTTAACCCTGGTTTGTTCCTTGATCCTCTCTGCCCTCTTCCTGTCCATTAGGGTCACATCTATAATTTTCCTTTCCATAGCTAGCTGCATCGTCCTCCATTTAAGCTGAACTCTCTTTTTAAGCGACCAGTTTTCTGCTCCGGCAATATGCAGCTGCTATATACCTTCTTCTTGAGGGATAGTGGCAATCTACCAGGCATGGCTTGAGAGTACTTGCCGAATGTGCTCCACCCCATTCTTTTTCTTCTAGTTACTTCAATCTCAACGTTGCGATGCACAGTTATTACCTGCCATAGCCTTTTACAGCTCCAATACTAATATTACCTACGTCGAAGCGCTGTTCTCATGCGAGGTTGTTGTACATTACTTTCGTTTTCTGCAGATTACTTTGAGACCTACCTTCTGCTCTCCTTGTCTCATTCAGTAGTCACGAGCCGCAATTCATCCCATGAGTTACTCAGCAATGCATAATAGTGATGCAATAATTTAAAGCACCTACAAGCACAAATCCTTTCTACTAGTAGGTGACCTCAACATAGATATTATGGATCTGACGCAGGACCTAATTTCACTCAATCATCATGATTCACGTCGTACAAATGCGTGAATAATTATTTTAAACAGCTACGATATATATTCGTGTCATTGCGTAAGTATGACAATTGTTTAATTAGTGTGGGCTCATTAGACACGTCAATTACACTTTTGTGAAGAAGTAGCGTCTGGTACAGCGTCACGTCAAAAAAGAAAGAAACATTTAAGCACTGAGCTTTCCACTTCAGGAACCAGAGTTCAGGGTCGGCTGTTCAAATAAGGGTAGCCTAGACTGTGGAGATGGTTAGTGTGTCGGCTTTCGTGCTTAGGATTACCCATAAGCCTGGTAGCGGTCACAACCAATGGTGTTCGCCTACACATGGATGGAATTGACATCACTGCTCATGTCACAAACTATCAATTATTCATCAGGCAAATGTGTTAAAGCCTTTGAATTATCGTACAATGTCGTTTGAGTGTCGTTTTAGAAAAAAATATTTCGAAAGTAGAGTTCAATAAACGTCAAGTTTGGTTTTGATACTTGGTCAAAATTTTGCTGTAAGGTGTTCGAAGCTCAACGTGTTGCTGAAATTTCGCGTATATACGTCTTCTGAACGTACACCAAGATGCCCTATGTTTCAATTTTTCCCTTTGAAATACTACACTAGGTACAAACATTTCTTCAGTGAATAGGCATACTCTACAACGAGCATATTTCGTGTTCAGAGTGTTTTCACGCCACGGATGCTACTATAATTTTCGACAAAAACATCATTTGTACGCTTAGGATGCAAGAAACCACATGGTGCTCTAAGATAATTTTACACCCTTATCAAAAGGAAAAGAAATGTTCTTTTATTTCATGTCCTTTTGTTATCCTTTTTCTTTTAAGAAATAATTTTTTAACTATGCACTTAAAGCCTATCAGAAACATCAATAAAAAAAGCTTTTGTATCGTCATTTTAGAAGATAGCCTTCAATGGCAAATTTAAAAATATATATATTTTCTTATATAAAACACAAATTGTGTAAATAAAAAACTGCATATACTGAAAACCATTCATTTTCTTTCGATTGATGGACAACGATGATTTGAAGTTGGAGCCCCACTCAAAGTAAAATTGGTTCTCACTGTGAACCAACATGAGAAATCAGGTCAAAATTTCCGGAGCACTCCACTACGGCGTCTCTAATAATGATATTGTGGGTTTGGGATGTTAAATCCCACATATCAATCAAATCAACATGAGAAATTTCTTAAAAACTTTATCGTTTCATATAAAAGTTGAGAACACGAGTGGTTTGAAAATACTTCTAGCGATCATACATAATTTGTTGAAGAAGTATTCATTACTGAAACATTCATACGACGTGAAAGCTTCGGGGAAAAAAAAGATGGAAACATGGAACGTTTTTGGAAGATTTCTAGAGGCATATATACGCTTAGAATATTCCCGTAATATGATTGATCTTGCAAAAACTTTCAGAAACCTTTTTTTCTCCGTTCTCTGAAGCAAATTCACTGTTGAAGCCATAAACGCTAATATCAGAGCAATTTTCGGACAAACAGCACTAAAAAATGTCAAAATGTAAATGCCAAACAGCAGTGACATTTTAGCAAACTGAATAGCCTTCGAAGTAAATAAATTATTTATGCGAATCATATTAGAAATTCGCTGCTTTCATTGCTATAAACCATCATGCCTTGTTTTGAGTGAATTTCGGATGATTGCCACAATGGCTGAGAAGCTTTGCCTCGAAAACCCAAAGGCTCTGTGATTTTGAATTTAAAGATATGTTTTGTCAACTCATGCAATAGTACCATAATATTTTCTTGGACTAAAATGTGATATGATTGTAGCCTTCAGTGACACTTCTTTATTGTTGTTAACACAGACATTACAGTCAGACGGGGAATTCTGTATCAAAACGGTACCTGCGCGGTTTTCAAGACTGAAGTCACAGTGCACAGTCGTGAGTACCAAATCGATTTCTTGTTGCATGCTCTGTAAAAGGCGTCATGTGAAAATATGCGAATTTGGTGCACACTTACTGGCCCCATCTCGAAATAATGGCGTTATGGTGTCAGAAACCACAAATGTTTCTGTGGTGTATTTAAAGTTTGGCTGAAAAGGCATCTTTAGGAACCTTCATATTGTGGCTCATGATGATATCAGGCCGTATAATTGGACAAAATTGCGGCTAGAATACATTTAGCCTTAAGTCTGGTGGCTTGAAGGTGACGTCACCAGAGTTGGTATTTTTTATAAGATTAGAAGCGTGAGCGAGTTGGTATGCGTACGTCTTGGTTGCGACAACGCAAACGAGACGACGGCGAAGCAAACACACACACACACGCACACACACACACACACACACACACACACACACACACACACACACACACACACACACACACGTACACACACACACACTCACACACACAAAGATAGCTGTGATTCACTACTCAGTGCGTGGCTGTGGTTATTTTTTTCGTTATCATCTCATGTGGTCCGGATCAACCAAATTGAGTGTTTCGACAACTCTTCTTGAAGTCGCTGACTTTATATGTGCGTCATAGCTTCATGTGCTTCATATATTTCTGCTGGGACGAGGAGATAATAAGAGCGAAAAATGGGGTCGGTAGAAAATGAAAGCGAGATGTGAACACCGAAATAAGCTTCCATGTCGCACTTTATGAGGAAAACGAAAACTCTTCGATGGAGGAATGAAAACATAAACAGAGGAAGAGCTCACATTTTTGTCATTTTTTTTTCGCGTCAAAGGGTAGAGGGTAGGTCTTTTTCTCCGAGTGATGCATAATAGAAGTGTGTCTTCGCCAAACCCGACAATTGCACGAATATCAACGCGGTTATTACTGCTTTGATGAGAGGCTTACGTTTTACTGGTTTTTATTTTGTGCCTGCCATATCGATTGGATTGGAGAGCTTTCTTAGACAAGTGTACACATGTTGGCTGGAGCGCAATGAACTTATGAACATCTCGCTTTCTATATTTTCTATCATTTGAAGGCTAGAATAATCACTCAAGTATTCACTAATTGTAGGCATATATAATGGGCATCTAACACAAGTAGTGAGAAATTAGCGAGAACAGTGGCACAGCGTTCTACCCTCTACTCTTCTACCCTTCTACCAACAGATTGTTTATATACTTGAGTGAAACTTGAAGTACCAAATAGACAGGAAACATTTAGAGTCGTACTTAATATCCATGATGAACACTCTACCGTTAACTGGTATAGCAAACGATGATCCAGTATGCTTTTCGCGGATTCATGTGTCAACTGGAGTTCTTTAAACTTGCCAGAAAAAAAAATCGACCGGAAACGAAATCTAGTTTATGTAAGATTGAAATGATTCAAACAGTCATTCATTTTCAGAGAAAAGTACTAAGTCATAGTAAAGTAACCGTGCTAGTTGACAACATATTGTCTATGAAAATAACCGCAAATTTCGAGCTGTTCTTTACACATCCGAAAATTTTTAAAGCTCTTTTCGCTCAACTCTACCTAAAAAAATGGTTGCATATTTACGGGATGAATGATGGAGAGTGGGGTGAAGCATCCGTCCGTCCATTCATTCTTGCTTCCGTCCATCCATGCATCCGTCTGTGTGACCGTCCATGCGTCCAACCGCCCGTCCGTGCGTGCGTCTGTTCGTGCGTCCGCACGCCCATGCACGCGTACGGCCCTGAGTTCTTCCATGCATCCGCCCCTGCGTCCGCCCATGCGTTCATCCGTCCGTGCAGCCATCCGTGCATCCGTCCATGCATTTGTCTGTGTGTCCGTTCATCCATCTAGTTACCACTCCAAGTACCACCATCTCGCATCTTTTCATCATATATTCCGCGTATAGAAGCACCGCCATCCAGCGTGCATTCCAAGGACTAAACGAAAGGTGGCACACGCACACTTTCTTACGCCTTGCGCTTCGTGTCTACTTCCCACCTTTAACCACATCGAGTTCATGGTATATACTAGTTCACTGTATTCATGGCACTGCGACCCAACGCTCGCTAAACTTTTCTAAAACCAAAGAGGTTACGCCTAGTGAGAATAACGTAGTAACCCTTTCTTGTCAGATAGCGCTCTAGGTACATTCCAATGGCTGCTAATGAGGATTGAGAGACAGGAGAATTCTGCTTTTAGTTAACTCGCATGCTGCGAAGTTTTTATTGTTGAACAACGCACAGGAGAAATCTCCCACCAGCACCACCTTGCAGGTCAAAACGTAAGGCTGGTTACACACTACGACTACGACTACGACGAGGGACGAGCAGGTGCCGCTTTAAGGAACTTCGCCCCTAAAGGTGGAGTGTATTGATCACGTGTATATAAAAATAAAAATTAACCATCTCTTCTAAGGGAACCATAGGATGATGCGGAGCATCGCATTTGTGCAGCGCGAGAAGTAGTTTTTTTTTTCTATCAAGAAACTCGCTAAGAGAAGCTGCCTACCTGGTCTTTGCGAGACGCTGCAAAAAGGAGTGCCTAGAGGAGAGAGTGGGCTGTGCCTAAGTCAGCAGACGCTCCTTGAGTCAGTGGTGTGAGGTAGGAGAGGGTTGAGTTACTGTATATGCTGCCTTTGGGTAGCAGAGTTGCGCCAGGCTACGCCACTTTGGGTTTAAATGTCCTGCGAAGAAGCCACTCACCACCCGCGTACGAGCAGCGCTCGCGCTTTAGATTGCTAGCGTTGTATTAGGGCGAACCTCCTAATCGCGGCACCCATTCGTCCCTCGTAGTCGTAGTCGTAGTGTGTAACAAGTGTTACACTTTGACCTCCAAGGTGGTGCCGCTTGAAGATGTCTCCTGTGCGGTGTTGAACAATAAAAAATTCGCAGCTTGCGCGTTAACTGAAAGCCGAATGCTCCTGTCTCTCATTCCCCATTTGCAGCCATTGGCATGTACATTGAGCACAATCTGACAAGAAAGGGTTGCTACGTTATACTCGCTGGGTGTAACCCCTTTAGTTTTAGAAAGGTTTAGCGAGCGTTGAGCCGCAGTGCCATGAATACAATGAACTAATATATACCATGAACACGAGGTGGTTAAAGGTGGGAAGTAGATACGAAGCGCAAGCCGTAACAAAGTAAAAGCCAAATTCTCCTGTCTCTCATTTCCCATTAGCAGCCAATGGCATGTACATTGAGCACTATCTGACAGGAAAAGGTTGCTACCTTATACTAGCTGGGCGTAACCTCCTTGGTTTTAAGAAGGTTTAGCGAGCGTTTACCCGCAGTGCCATGAATACAGTGAACTAGTATATACCATGAACTCGAGGTGGTTAAAGGTGGAAAGAAGACCCGCAGCACAAGCCGTAAGAAAGTGTGCGTGTGCCACCTCTTGTTCAGTTCTTGGAATGTCCGCTGGAAGGTCATGCTTCTATATGGGGAATAGATGAAGAAAAGATGCGAGATGGTGGTACTTGGAGTGTTGAATAGATGGACGAACGGACACACAGACAGATGCTTGGATGGACGCATGAACGGACGCAGGGGCGGATGCATGGACGAATGTAGGGACGGACGCACGAACAGACGCACGCACGGACGGGCGGATGGATGCATCGACGGTTACACAGACAGACGCATGCATGGACAAAAGCAAGAACGAATGGACGGACGAACGCTCCGCCCTACTTTCCATCATTCACTCCGTTGATATGGTGCCAATTTTTTTTCTCTTTCGCCTTTCGAATTTCTACGCATATACGAGCAAAACTTGGTTTCTCCAGTCCTGCCTAGAAGCCTTGATTTTATAATTACATTCTTGGTATTAATTATGAAACAAAGCGCGTCGGCTCGTTGAACCAGTGAGATAAATATTTAAAGTTGTTCACACATTAGCTTCTTCTTCTTTTCCGCTCTTTTTACCATTTTGAGATATCCAATTATTTTTGCACTTTTCACCGTGATTGAGCCAATTAGGGATATATTTTTTTCGTGGCGTTAGGCTCATTCGTAAACTGTGTGAGGAAGCCAGCTAAAGTTTAGTAGTCTTTAACTGAATCGAATCAAGCTGTATAACCATCGAGAGTGGCCATGCGACGCTCGCGTTACACGCCGCTTTCGTTTTACAACCGCGGCTCACTGCAGTTGAGGTGAATTGCTGTTAAACAGCACTATTGCGTCGAAGATTCTTTTCACTTAAGGTTTAAAAGCTGCATTAGGTTCACGCACCAGCAGCAATACTTGCTGATTTAAATTGTTCTAGTTTAACTTCTACCGTCGTATTTAGTGTCTTACACGACAAATTTGGATGTATGCAGCGGACACACGCTGACCAACACTGCATGTAAAACGTAGTGTCGTAGCTAGATATAAAGAAGCCAAGTTCATGGGCGTCAGCAGGGGAGGGAAAAAGGGGTACTTGCAACCCTCATGCCAGAGCAGCGCCAAAGAGGCGCTGGCCGCAAAAGCACTTGCCCTCACCCAAGCTAAACCAGTGGTCTCTCTTTTCCTGAAACGCAATGTAACAATAGTTTGCCCTCCCCCCCCCCCTCAGAGGATCCTGCCGACGACTATGGCCAAGCGTTCATTCCTTCCTCAGTGAACACTAATATTTCTATAGCAGCACCCGCTGCACCCGCTGCACCCGCGTCTAATCACATGGGCTGTATATAATACAATTTATCACAGAATGCACGTGCCCCTACCTTTCTCGTGACCCACAGGCAACATGATTACAGTACCGAAAACGCGCGGCGATAATAAAAACAACAGACGATCTGTCAACCACGCTTGATCTGCCCAGAATCTGCGAAGCATCAGCGTCGTCTGCGTAGTGTACGCTTCTTCGCAGTGCGAATGAACCACCCGAGACGTGATGGCGCTCGGTGAATAGGGACGCTGAACTCTTGGAGGCGGAATGAGCGGTGCCCGGAAAACAGTGACGAAACTCAGCTACAAGGTAGCACACTGTCACAGAATGAGCGCTAAACAAGGGCGCACCG